ATTTGCTGTTATGTTAAACTTATATAAGTTTTTCTTCATTACCCATTCAAGCCGTCTCCAGCCATTATCTATATGGATGTGTACTGGAGATGATGGAACCCACCATGTGATCAGTGTTGCCTCACAGGGAATACCTCTCTCTCTACCAAAATATGCATTGACTGGAGGATAACAAAGTGTTAAGCCTGTTTGCTCTTTCTCAGTGCCCACTGTTAAGATAGTGTTTTTCATAAGACTGCTTCCATGGTATACATGTATTTTACCTTTCAGGCCATACTTCAGTACCATATGTGACCCTACTCCCATACCTGGATAGCACCTATTGTCCCTATTCATAGAAAACCCATTGCATAGTCTATCAGTGTGGGACATTATGCAGGTAATAAAAAATTCTGTTTGATCCACACCTCTGGTGTTCTCCCTACACAAATTTCTCCCTCTGGTTTTCTTTTAGTAGAGTAAAGGCAGTGGCACAAGGTAATAGCTTTCATTTCTTTGGAGAGGTGGGTATCTATCTGAAATACATTTTTGAGCAAAAAAATGTTACCTTTGGAATTTGTCAAAACTGAATGTACTTATGCACACAAATATATTACAAGACACATTACTGATAACTGAATTTGTTTGATAATTTTTTTGATGGCACTAAAAAAAGCAACAATTATTAGTGTTATTACTATTGTACACTGATAAAGTTATTAATTAATTGACCATACATGTGTTTTAGTTTGTGATGTTTTATTTTCAACTTACTATTTACTAGTACCTGTAGTAGGTTTTAATTTTACTGGTAAATGAAATTTTCATATATTTAGCTGCTGAATGGGTACTGTCAGAATATCTGACATAACAGACAATTAGACTGCCTGGATACCAGTTACTAACCAAATACCCATTACAACTTACCCTAGTGATTCAGAAAATGTAATGTCTAATATTGACAAAAAATAGCATGGCTTTTCTATTAACTTTTCTATTTACCAGAATGGTTAAAGTTTATGTTAACATGACATTCATACTTTTAAAAACTCTACTATCAGTAATATAGTTTAATGACCAGTTGGTAGGCCATTGTCCAATCATCTT